CGACCCTAGCCATTGTGTGGGTCAAATCGCATCCAAAATGCCAGTGTGATTTTGAATAAAGATGAATGCACGGCGTATCCCAAACAGGCTGACGATTTCTTACTTTTTAACACTCATCCATCAGTATTCCGAGTACAAAAAGTGCAACTCATTCAACGCAAACGTAATAAAACCACATCGTCATATGGAAACCATTGGCAAAACCGCCTGAGTGCCACCAAGGGACATGAGCCAACCAGAGATACAATGGGTCCTCCAGATAGCGATAGCTGTTATACGAACTTAAACGCTTCACCTTCCACCCCTTCAAGACGATATTCTCTGAAGATCGTTTTGTGGAATGGACACCCAACGCAAGCACTAGGCAGTAACGAAGACTAGTTCTCGGCAGTTATCAGTTAGGCACCAGCTCTTGCAATCGCCAGCATGACCACAATCATTGTGGGCAACCCGAGCACGCGTCGTGGCTGCCCAAAAAACCGTCCCAGTTCTCCTCCTAGGTCGGGCCATCAGTGCTGTTTGATCATTAAAGCCTAGGTTTAGACTTAGGCTGACGATTACACAATGGTTTATGCTTGAACCTATGAATGAGCCAAGGCTTATGGTTAGTCCTATGGCCGTATGCCATGCTTCCCCGAAGCTAAGTGATCCAAAGTTTCCTTTAAATTTATTTGTTTTGAACGATATAGTTTCTTCATTTTCAGTGCACGTTTACTTTTACCTACATACATATATTAAATGTAGGTCCTTTCTCAGGGCAATCCCAGATGGGAAGACAGAGAAAATTTAAAGGAATTCTCGTCGCCCTAACTACTTCGGGGAGGATAGCATAACGTGTTCTTTGTGCGAATGGTACCACCTTCAAACAAGGCAGATAGGGAACTTCCTTTTTCCCCATTTGTTTTCAAAATTGACGATGAAAGAAGCCCATCACACTGTTTGACTAAAGCGCACTAAAAACCAAACTTCTAATGCAACACCCCTTTGCTGACGGGAGCTCAAAGCTGTGCAATATAGTGCGGTCCAAATTTGACGCTGACCCTGGGTGGAAGTGCCGTAGCCCAAACGGCGCTTATTACCATGCGTGGTTCGAAAATCGAATCTTGGACCATGCGCCGTCAAACCCAAACAAGTCTTCTTTCCCTCCGAGACGTTAAAACGTCACCAGACTCCTTTGGATGGATTAAAACACTGAATTATACATCAAGCGACCCTAGCCGTTGTGTGGGTCAAATCGCATCCAAAATGCCAGTGTGATTTTGAATAGAAGATGAATGCACGGCGTATCCCAAACAGGCTGACGATTTCTTACTTTTTAACACTCATCCATCAGTATTCCGAGTACAAAAAGTGTAACTCATTCAACGCAAACGTAATAAAACCACATCGTCATATGGAAACCATTGGCAAAACCGCCTGAGTGCCACCAAGGGACATGAGCCAACCAGAGATACAATGGGTCCTCCAGAGCGAGCTGTAGGAACTTAACCTTCACCCCTTCAAGACGATATTTTCTCTGAAGATCGTTTTGTGGAATGGACACCCAACGCAAGCACTAGGCAGTAACGACGATTAGTTCTCGGCAGTTATCAGTTAGCAAAACCAGCTCTTGGCAATGCGCCATGAAATAACCACAATTCATTGGTGGGAACCCAGCACGCTTCGTTGCTGCAAAAAAAACGTTCAGTTCTCCTCCTAGGTCGGGCCATCAGTGCTGTTTGATCATTAAAGCCTAGGGTTTAGACTTAGGCTGACGATTACACAATGGTTTATGCTTGAACCTATGAATGAGCCAAGGCTTATGGTTAGTCCTATGGCCGTATGCTATGCTTCCCCGAAGCTAGTGATCCAAAGTTTCCTTTAAATTTATTTGTTTTGAACGATATAGTTTCTTCATTTTCAGTGCATGTTTACTTTTACCTACATACATACATTAAATGTAGGCCCTTTATCAGGGCAATCCCAGTTGGGAAGACAGAGAAAATTTAAAGGAATTTTCGTCCCCCAACCCCTTCGGGGAGGATAGCATACGGGGTCCTTTTGTGGAATGGTACCAATTCAACAGCAGGATAGGGACTTCCTTTTCCGTCCCCATTTGTTTTCAAAATGAGGATTGAAAGAGCCCATCAGCTGTTTGTGACTAGAAAAGCACTAAAAACCACTTTTCAATGAAAACACCATTTTGCTGACTGGAGCTAAAAGCTGTGCAATAAGGCCCAAAAATTCGCAGCCACATTAGGGAAAACGACAGAAATAATCAGGGTGGTGCACCTTCGTCTGGGAAGAAAGAAACAGTATAAAAATTGTTTTATTTGGAATAAAATTTCAAACTCTTCAACTAATCAAAACCTAAGAACGTGATTGAGTGCAATTTTCCGAATGACAAACGAAGTTGCTTCTCATTTACTTCATTGAGTTTTATGTAATGCTCAAGAAATTATAAGAAAGTGCCTATCAAAAAGAAAAAAAATACAAACAATTAAAGCTAGTAACAACACGAACTAAGACTACCATGCGAGACCTATGAGGGATTACTTCGAGGCACTTCGAGCTGCGCTCTTAAAAATGTAATTTTCCTAACAAGGGAGGTCTTTCAGGGCAAGCCGCGCTTTTTGGAAACGGTTTCTGCATATTGTAGGGACGCATGTATGGACCACAAAACCATGTTTCGTTTTCGCTGAACGGTTTTAGTAGTACCAAAAAAGTGGTGAATATACTTTGATGGTTCGATCCCCCGCGGCGACTAAATTTTGCAATCAAGGTTGGCGGCCACTTGTTGGCTTCAAAATGGTCCTGACGATGAATATGACATCTGATTTTGACATTTAGCGCGATTTGGCACCAAACCGTAGGCGCCAACCCAAATGCAAAATTTAGTCGCCACGGGGGATCGAACCATTAACAGTACCTTATGCTTCTTTTTTGGTACTGCTAAAACCGTTCAGCGAAAATGAAACATGGTTTTGTGTTCCCTACATGCGTCCCTACAATATGCAAAAAACCGTTTTGAAAAAGCGTGGCTTGCCCTGAAAGACCCCCCTTGTAAGAATTCGAAGACGTTAGTATTAGCTATTCCGATCACCCCTTGCATACTAATGCAGCGCTCCTTGATCTGTAGCGCCAAATTTGCAGCAAAGCAATACATCAAAACCGCAAAAGAGCGGTTTGGGATATGTTGAGCTCTCATCCAAATTCACAGAACCCCGGAGCCAAGTTGCTTCTGTAAGTGATGGGTCCCCAAATATGATAGTCGACCACCCCTCCCCCCTAGAGGCTCTCCATGAAGCGGGTGTTTTTTGTAGATTTTCCAACGCTAGGGAAAATTGCCACAGGGCTACATTTTGGTTTCAAGTTCAAGATTCGAAGTGATCTTCGGGGATAGCACCATAGAGATTGTTTCAGCATAAATATTTGCACCGTCAACTTAACTGCGGCTCGCCATCAGCACTCCAACAAAACCCTGAGATAAGATTCAGGAAAACAAATAGTCCTTGAGAATAACAAAATCATTGAGCAAGAATGAGCAAGAAGTTCTGAACAACAAATTTTCGACCTAACGAGCACAAAAATGAACTAGCTTCATATAACAATCATAAAGGAAGAAAATAAGAATTGTACATGACTCCAATCGATGAAAGGACCACGTTAGTGAACGTGACAAACACTAACGAGAAGGACCACACTGCTCGACATACTGTCGGATCAAAAATTGATCGAAAAGCTCCACTCGGAACTGGTGGCGTGGAATCTTCTGATGAAACACCAAGCCACGATAAATTGCCTAAAATTGAGTCATAATTTTAGAACACCGTAACTTCATTCTTTTTCAGGGGAAAAGTAGCACTTACTTGTTGTTTTCAGTAAGAGAGCGTAGAAAAATGAAAGGAGTACCGGTGAGAAATATTGGAGAATAACAGCACAGAAGTAAGAATAATAGCGGAAAATCTGGAAATTTAATAAATAACACAGACTGAAAACAACAACAACCATGAATGAGTTTGACAGACGATCTAAATTTCCGTTGTAAAAGCTTATCGAATTTCGAACTTGCTAAAAACCTTTTTCAGTAATTCAAGGCTTAAACGATCTTACGGTTGCTTGAAGAGCGACATTCCTGATGTAGCCAGTCTCCCGTTGTAAGGCGTTCAATTTGGCAGCTGAGAGATTCAGGTGGGCCTGGAAATTTTTTGTTTTAAAAATATCGAATGCCGAAATTGTGGCACTACAAAAGCCTGACTTCGGTAAAACATCAACACATTTCCATAGACGCAGCTAAGGAGACACATAGAGTTTATAAGGTGGCGAAAGTCCCAACATGCAGAATAAACCAAAGTCTTCTTTCTTTCCAATTTAATCAACGGTTTTCTTTCAAACTGACCGAGTATCTCCGCCGCATACTCATAAATACCAGCTTCAAGAGCCTTCTGAACAAGTGATAGAAGGTTCTGCAAGGCGGAAAGGAGGCGTTTCACTACAGCAATATCCTTGTTTGTTTACCGTATCCCATAATTCTCCTGAGCTCTGGCTACACTTGGTATCAGAGAGGGTTGATGTCAGATGATCTCCTCGAAGATAGCACATTTTCAGACGCCCTTCAATTCCAAGTGAATAAGAGTCCTCCAAGCACCCGAGTTTGCTCAGAGTTCTGTTGGCATGAGGTTGTCACGAAATTACGGCTGACAGCCTGTCACCTGTCGCCAGGTTGATTGTTCAGTTTCTCGAGCGAGCGCCAGCAACAACCCCACCATCCTTGCGGGCGTCCCTGGCCATCCATTTGGTATTCCAGATATCACTCGATACCTTTGGACACTTGACACTAGATACCTTTGGATCGCGCTCATCCTAAAATCTCATGACGTGTCCAACTGTTGACGGACTCCGAATTCATCGATTCCTGCAGCTAACGAGGCTCCACTACTGATCTCTCCACATTACGTCGGATGACCACGCTAAACGTGCAAGTATGGATGCGCCCGATCGCGTACAAACAGTACAAGGCCATCCCTGCATCGAACCCGCTTGCTTTTTACCTTAGGCTCGTACATGGTGATTTCTTACTCGCGAATGATCACTTGTCCGTCATCTAAGGTCGAGCCACGTTACCGAATTATCCTTCAGTGATCGGGGTGACAGTATGACCACAAAATATCATCATGGGATTGCTCGATCTGTTTATTAGTGAACATTCGCTTTCAGTCCCGACATCAGAAACGCCAGATTATACTAACCAAAACGCCTCAGGGTACACAAAAAAATCCGGCGCCGACTGGTCGGCCTTCTAGGTGGCGCAGTGAAATCGTGGGCTGTAGTACCGTCGAGTGCACTGCAGGGTGCCAGATGTCCTTCACGATCTGTTGTCCATTAGTGAGTCGATCGAAGAAACGACGACGCAGCTGCATCTGGCTGAGAAAAATGCGATACGACTGCTTGAGTTTGTCAGCGATGACGCACGGCCAATTGCAGCTGGACGCCCATTTATCTTGTATAATGCCAAGTTTTCCAATGTCACGACTTAGGGCTTTTTTGCCCCGTCAATTAAGAGCGCTAAGGAAATGTAGCAGCGGCACAAGGAAAAAATATGCGAAGAAAAATCGAACCAAATCAAAGAGCAAAAACCCATAAATGCAGTCAGCTGCTAAGTTGATAAGTTTTATTAGATAGGTTGAATCGAATCGATCGGATGAAGGATAAATAGATCGAAATTCTACCAATCAGTTTGTTGGCGGGACTTTTTGAGAGACTTTCTCTCTCGGAAGAGGTCAAAAACACTGGGAAATAACGGGTGCGGGACTTTGGGTGGTCCGGGCAGGGTCAACCCTACGTTGTTACGAGTAACAACGGGGGGTCGTACTCAGTTGAGCTTGGAGGGAGGGGGGTCGTACCCTCTCGGTGGCCGACAGTGGGATTCTTGGTAATATCGGATAATAGCCAGCACGTTACGTTTTCGTAAGATGACTGATACAGCATCTATAAACCACGATTCCCTCTAAATGAGCTTTCAAATGAATCAGCGAATTAGAAGGGCGCCCGAGGCGTGGCGCGCACCAAGGCAAGGGATGTAGTGCAAGCGCATGCTCGGAGCTTTCTAGCAGATCCTTAATTAAACATAAAATTGGTCTTCCAAGAAGTTACGGGCAGTGAAACCTAAGAAAACTCGCGTTTTCGAGAAAATGGCTTGAAGAATACCCCACAAAATAAAAAGTAACAACGGGCTAATTTTTGAACTGCTGATCTTTCAGAAACGCTTGGGTGCTCGTTAGAAAGCTTGAAACCTGTGGTTTATTACACCGTGTTCAGCTTCCCAAATGAATGACTTTGAAGGAAGTTATGATCGTTTGAAGGTCAAAAAGTCGCGGTTCCAAAAAAATAGTAACGCAAACCCCCAAAAAAGTAACAACGGGACTAATTTTTGAACTACTGATCTTTCAGGAACGCTTGGGTGCTCCTTAGAAAGCTTGAATCCTGTAGTTTATTATACGTGTTCAGCTTCCCAAATGAGTGACTTTGAAAGAAGTTATGATCATTTGAAGGTCAAAAAGTCGCTTTGCACAGAAAAAAGTAACAACGTACTAAATTTTTATTAAATTAACTTTCGAAGAATTTTTACCCATGGTTGGAGAGAGAATAATTTGAATTTTCCAAATCAAATCACTTCGGCGCAGAAGCTCGAATATGAAGGAAGTTATAGCCTTAGAAAGAGGGGTGTAAAAATTGTGTTGCAATTGAAGAACGTGAAGGATTTCAGTATTTCAATTGGAGCGATAATTTTTTCTGACTTCTCATAAGTTTTTATCAGGTAATATTGTCAATATTACGGTCACTGGTTCAGCTTTATTTCATCTCCTAGTTTGGTAACCCTTTGGAGTACACGGATATCTTTGAATGCATCTCATTTTTTCGTGTTTGCAAGCAGCGATGAATATCTGTCGTGGATTTTGCTAAAGTTTCATCTTTGATGACTTACGTAGAAATAAATATTGATGGTAAACACTGTCTCTACACAAGTGTCACATACAAGGGGGGGGTCGTATCAAATCACCCATGAAGGGGGGGGGTCGTAAAAAATTTCCAAAGAGTAACAACGATAGGGTTGACCCTGGTCCGGGGTTGCACGCGGCGAATTGCGCGGCGGCATGCGCGGCGATCCGGATGAGACAAGGCTTCGCGTGTTCTGAAGTAGAATTTGAAACGTCAAAACGTATCAGATTGCGGATAAACACCGCACTGTTCTGGGCTTCAAAAAAAAAGCTTCTGCGCGCGGAGATTTGGATGCAGCGGTGTCTGTGAAGAGATTTCAGGCAAACAAGTAAGGGAGAACCTTCATGAAAACGGCACTTCCATCACTCATGCGATTAAGAAACGCTATAATCAGGAGTTTTTACTGCAGTGTTGTTCAGTGTCAACTATATATCGCTACTGATCGTGGCGCTTGTGTCTCTAATCGCAAGAGGACATTCAAAACAGCCGAAGGTGGTGACACTAGGACTAAGCCCAGGAGTGGGGAGGAAAGCCAGGACAAAGACAATCTGCTCCCAGAATCCCCTTCCCATGAGGCTCAGTTCCAAGCACAGTAATTGGCTCACTCACTTGTATGCCCCTCTCCCAACGACATGACGCCCTGATCGCTTTCACAGCTTTATGTCAGCTCCTTCTCATAACTTCTTACTAAAGTTTCCTGAACATTACCGCTGGAACTTCACACCTTGGAATGTAGTTGAGTCGCAGAACCTTGCGAAATTTATCTGTTCACGTTTTGACGTGGTAAATTCTACTGCAGACGCCCGCGCGATTTGCATCCAGATCGTCGCGCAGCCGCCGCGCGATGCCGCGTGCCATCCCGGACGCACCAAAAGTCCGTCGCCCGGGAAATACTGACTGTAATTAAGAATCACCCAAATAGGCGCAACAGAATCCATGATGAACGGGACTTTTGAGAGACTTTCTCTCTCGGAAGAGGTCAAAAACACTGGGAAATACTGACTCTAGTAAGAATTCACCCAAAAAGGCGCACAGAATCAAGATGAAGTTCCTTTGAAAACTCTATACTCTATCATTACCAACCTGTAGGTGAAGAGTACGAAAAGCTGCACGACAGAAAAGAGTTGCGAGAACCAGATAAATACGTAATATTTCGAGCTGTCCCTCCGTTAATCTGGAAATTGCGCATTTGAAGAAAGACGATTTGAAAGAAAATCCACGAAAAACCTTACAATTTCCTAGGTCCATACACTAGCTGTTTCTTCACTGGGCTAGTAAAAGATAACAAAGTGAGCAATGGCAACAGAAAAGTGACGTGTAGACCCAACCTGAAAACAATTTATCAACACCATCAAGATAAAAGTCTAAGTCAAGAAAAATTTTGTAAAAAAAAACGCACTTTGCGAGCCTTGAAGCCTTGGCTTGGGCTTTCGTATACATGTTCGCATAACGGAAATTAGGAAAGACTAGCATTGCCGCGATAAAGGAATAGAGAACCGACATGGAGACATAACTGCAGAAAAAAGCAAGCATAACGAGAGCTAAATTCCTTTAACAAGAACTAATTAAAAGTTTTACAACATACAGAAGAATTGGATCCTTCGATTGAGAGGGGCTATATGCACCCACACCTGTTTCCGTCATCAGCGTCGCGATGTTGTGGCAAAACCGGTCGTAACCTGGTAAAAGACCTTTTTGTAACGAAATTACTTAACCTAGGTGTCATTTCCGGAACTCGTGTACCGGTATCCTTTGGTAGCCAGATCATTTCCAACAAAACAATCAAAATCGATCTTTCATAAAAATCCTATCAAAGAAGTGAGGCAAGAATTTAAAGCCTCAACAACTCTCCCAAGTTGCACTTTCTCCTAACAGTAAGTCATAACGACAAAAAATAGTGATATTAGAGCAATTCTGCAAGGAAAAAGGACCTGAATACCAACCAGTGAGAAGATGAATGTCGAAAAAGTAGTCAGCCTGGGTGGCGAAGATAACGGAAAGAAGGAAGAAAATCGCGGCAAAGACTAGGAGTACGCTTCGCTCATCCTCGTTTACAACCAGCCATGATGTAAGACGCGCAAGCACCTAAAGTAATGAAAACAAACTTCATTGAGCCACTAATTTACTATGAATATTTCCAAACTACATCCTTTCAATGTTCATCAACAAATTTAGAGCCATTCAAAGTTCTAACTAGATTAATATTTATATGTTTGTGACATACCTGTAGAACGAAAGCAACGGCAATGATAAGCCACAGCACTGAAGTATTGGTATCATTATTGGAAGGAAAGAGATAAACGAAGACTTCGCTGAAGGCGTAAACCTGCAAATGAGTCTTTTGCTCGCGTGTGAGGAGACCCAGAACATTTTCAGTTGGCGTTTAATCAACCAAATGCACTTACAATGATGCAGAGTGGCACGAATAGGGACAGCCAGTGAACAGATGAGTACAAAGGTAGACTTCGCAGCTCCTCTTCAACCACTCTTCCCACTTTTAACCGAAGAGGAAGCGATTTCGGCACGTTAAACCCATCGCTGTTTTCTTCTTCCCTAAAGAAAACGAAAGCTCGCTTAAGGGTTTGAGAACGTAGTGGTCGAAATTAAAGATGACATTGCGGTCATAATCGGGACTATTCACACTGCCTAGGGAGTTGCTCATATTTACGAGCTTACTAGAGCTCCCAACAACAACCTGAAAAAAGAGGAAGCGTGGAAGTATGGATACCTTGTGAAATACCACGGATGTGAAATTGAAAATAAGCCATGGCGAGAATTGTAATGGTCAAAAAGGAACACGGAAACGAACGGGCTCCAAGAGCGGAACACACATAACGACACAGTTACAAGAAAGATACAAATAAGTATAGAAAAGTACAAGATAAAATGAAGGATTTTAATGCAATGTTTCTAGCTAATTTGAAACTCAGTTCCAGCGATTGAAACTATGAGAAAGAAACTTCGATATCAATGCACTTCCTGGAATTTTTAACACATTCACGCCGATGGCCGCCCATATGGGCTGCCAACAACATGCGCTCCTGGGACGATGGCAGCCCATATGGGCTGCCAACTGATAATCGCTTGCCAGGCGCTAGGAATGGACAGATAGGTGGGCAAACCTCGTAATCGAGTGTAAAATGCTTTTAAATTCCTTCACGGGGAAAGTGAATAAATGCTCTTTTCGTAACCACTATTTGTCGTT